CGCTGACAGATGGTGTAAAGAAGCAGATAGTCAAACAGTATCTAGATGTAAGTAACAAAGCTTAATCAGCCTGACTAAAGTGTTTTGAGTTCACTGGTTTATATTATTGTCTGTCCTCTAAGCAGTTACATACACGAGTTTAGTGTAGAATTTAATTATCACACAAAAATGTTTTTTAATAATTTTTTTTCTTACTTACTGAACTTGCTAAAATATGAGTTTTGCCTTAAATTTGCGATTCAAACTAGAGATGGCACGATACCACATTTTATGTCTGATACCGATATTATAAATTTGGATATCTGCCGATACCGATATGAATCCGATATAGCGTATTTTTTAATCAATAAAACTGTTTGTTTTTTTTGTTTGTTTTTTTTTTTTTATATCTTGCTGCATTTTGTATAAGTTCATACTCAAGTAAAAAAAAAAAACCCCCCACTAAAGCTATTCTGTTACGGCTGTATGCAAAAAATACACTGCACCCAAAATATTTCATAGTTCAGCAATACTGATCGATCTAATAAACTTAAACCTACTCCATCCTCCCTATTCTGGTATTTTAAAGAGTACTTAGCAGAAATATTAAGCAACCTAAGTAAGTAAGAGTTGCCAACTGCCAGCAAAAAAAAAAAAAAAAAAAAAGGGAACCACCCCCCACCCTCGCGATGCTTAAACGACGTAATCAACTTTAATTTAATGCATGTGATAAAAAAATAAAGGCACAGAAATCAATTATTTTTCCACAATAATTAAGTAGATTCAACATCTTTCTTCAACAGAACTGCAGACTGCACAGATGGTACCTTACCAAAGGAAAAAGTACTATAGCTTACTAGGGTATATTAGACTTAATAGTTACTATATACAGTAATGGACTTCTATACATTTTACATCAGATTAAAACTTTGGGTGTAAGATTCAGATAATTATTTAATAAAGGCTAGACATTTTAAATTACAATAAGAAAGAAAAGTATGTCTTTGTGCCCCCTTTTCCCTGTTAATGCCCTATCTGGCCCCCTGGCATAAGCTTGCTAGATCCGCCCCTGCACAGTTACCAGCCGTCAGCTGCGTAGAAAAGGATCCTGGTGTAGAAAGTAATATTAAATAAATTCTAACAACAGCTTATCAAGCTTAAATGTGCTGCTGTTGTTCAGCCACTGGTTTCCCCTTTCTGGTGCAAAGTCGGCCATAAACAAACAAGAGAGACGGGAGTTGCTACAGAAAAGCCGATCATTGATCAGTTTCATGATTGAAGTAGCAACAGGAGATGGAGAGAGAAGAGGCAGTTGCTCCATAAATCGGTTGTTAAGCTTAACGTGCGAATGCTTTACAAACATTCAGAGATGAACTTACCCACTTGCTTTACTTCTCTATGGGATCACTTTCTCGGAGATGAAATGCCAGCTTGGTAGCAAGGATCCAAATGCTCAATCAGACCGCTGACAGGTCTCGCATGCCACAGCCTCTCTAATCACGTGATGCATACTGCTCCGACGTGCTAAGGTTATGAGCTGAGTTACGCCATGTCGCAAGTTTTGTGAGGTGCTTTCATGATATTTAATGGATCGGATTAGATTTTTTATTTCTCACCGATATCCGATCCAGTAATTTAGGTCCGTATTGGACCGATACCGATATGTAATACCGGACCGGTCCATCTCTAATTCAAACAGACTGCAGTGAATATGAGTTTTGCCCTTTATTCAATATTTGGTTTGCATGGTTATAACTGCTGATTAGCCTGAAGCTTCGTCTCAAAGTTGGTTTCTTTTCTTTTTACTTTTCACAGTTCAAAGTTCTGATGGAACATCTGGACCCAGATGAAGAGGATGAGGAGGGGGAAGCATCTGCCAGTGCGAACATCAGAAACAAAGCCATAAATGCTCTATTGGGAGGCTCCGGCCCCCTGTCAGGACCGAGTCCGCGCAATCAGGCCGGACCAGAGACGGATGATGATGATAGTGATGGTGACGAGAGGACCCCAGGGGTGAGATAAATGGATACACACTCTTTTTGTAAAATGCTAATTAAAAGCAATTGAGGAAATTTCTTTAAAAAAAAAAATTTTTTTTTTGTTCTTTGCTCTCTACAGTCCTCTCGAAAGTCAAGGCGAGCAGGTGACTCCTCGGATCCTGGTCGGATGAGTGAGACAGTGGAGGTTATGGATGTGATTGCGCTTTGCTGCCCCAAATATAAAGACCGGCCGCAGATAGCTCGAGTCATCCAAAAGACCTCAAATGGGTACAGCATCCACTGGATGGCTGGTTCGTACTCGGGGCCCTGGGCAGAAGCCAAGAAACGTGATGGCCGAAAACTGGTGCCTTGGGTGGACACTATTAAGGAGTCGGACATCATTTACAAGAAGATTGCCTTGACCAGCAACCACAAACTGAGCAACAAAGTAGTACAGACTTTACGCTCACTGTATGCAGCACGGGAAGGAGGGGCTAGCTAATGGCTCCAATGTGGTGGTTTTTGTTTTTTGTTTTTTTTTTTATTTTTTATTTTTTTGGTTCCCCTGTTCCATTTCTACTTTATTATAAATCCTCCTCTTCACTGCTCCTGCTCCTTCTCCTCCTCCTCAACCTGCCACCTCCAACAACACAGCCAAACTTCACTGGATTCCTACCCTCCCTCTCTCCTTCCTCATTTTTGTAAGAAAACACGAGGGCAAGAATATTTGACACTACATACTTTTACATGAGTTATTCTTGCAAAAATGACACAAAACATAAGACTTATATTAGAGGGACTGCTCATGTTTCGTTTGTGTACAAGTTCAGAGGATAGAATCCTGAAGGCATTAAAGGAATAATACATCCCGATTATCCCTTAAAAGGCTATCAGAGACGAGACCTGGAGGGAAATGTTTTGTCGACATTGTTGTGGGAGCTCCTTCGCTGTTGTGCAGCAGATTCTAGTCGCTCATTTCTACTCCCACTGTATCATAGTTTAACACAACAAAAAATTAAAATGTTTATATCTCTGAAGACAAAAAAGCTGTAAAAAAAAAAAGAATAAAACCTTAAGTGAATGTTGGAAATTAGTCTTTTTGATGTTCTTATTAAAGTGTTTTGGAGTTTATTATACTACTAGCAACCGGATGGTTTTTTCCTTTTAGCTTTTAGATATTTGAGGAAAAAAACAGATGACAAAAAACAAACAAAAAAACAAGAATTTTTATTTTTGTTCACTTTTATTTGTCCATGCTGTACAATGGCAGAGTCCTCTGAATATAATTTATTCTATTTCGAACTACGCATGCAGTATATGTGGCCTATTGCAGGAGGATATTTTGTAAATGTAGATTTTGTTGTATTAGGTCACCCTAGTAATAAGAGGAAAGGGGATTCATACCCTTTTGGTGGAACAAATACTGCAATAAATTTTCTACTTCTCTTTGTCACTTGTCTGCTCAAACTGTTGATCCAATCTGTTCATCTTGCAAAAGTGAAGAAAATCATTGGACGGATATGACTGAGAGAGTCTTTACATGATGTCAGATTATAGGATTTTTGTCCAAAGGATGATCATTTTATCACAGTTTTTCCTAAAGTGTGCATAAGGTGATTTATAGTATAGTTTTTATTATTATATTATACAAACCTGTCAGGCAACTTAAGTATTAGAGTCGAAAGTTGTCAGAGGACTTTTCTTATATTTTTTAGATCTCATCCTCATGTACAAATGAAGCATTTTTACATGCATATGAGAGTGCTGCTGTCCTTACATTTGATAAGCATATATAAACTATTCCACCACATCCCAAAGGTACTCTGTGGATTAAGATTTTCTAACTGTAGGGGTCATTTGAGTGCAATGAACTCATGTTCAAGAAAGCAGTTCGAGATGATTTGCGTTTGTGACTTGGTGCATTATTTTGCTGAAAGTGGTAAACTGGTCATAAAGGGATGGACATGGTCTGCAGCGGTACTCATGTAGGCTGTGGTGTTTAAACCATGGTGGTAAAAACTGGCTCAAAGGGTGACAAGAAAATATACTATACACTATTACATTACCAGCATCCTGAACACTTGATAAAAGGCAGGACAGCTCCATGCTTTCATGGGTTTTTTTTATCAGAAATTCTGACAACCAACTTTATCTATATAGTGCCAAATCACAACAACAGTCACCTCAATGCACTTTATATTGTAAGGAAAGTACCCTACAATAACATGGACAAAACTTCAACAATCGGATGACCCCACCTATGAGCAAGCACTTGGCAATGGTGGGAAGGAAAAACTACCTTTTAATGGGAAGAAACCTTTGGCAGAACCAGGCTCAAGGAGGTGCAGCTGTCTGCCAGACCACTTGGGGATGAGTGGAGGGGACACGAGAAACGACACGCTATGGAAGAGAGTCAAGTCGTGTTGTAATCTATAATAACTACGTTTTTTAAATAAACGCAGAAAGTGAAATGCAGCGAGTAAAGAAGAAACACTCGATGCATAAGGGGAAGCCTAGGCCCTTTCCAATCTTCTGTTGTCCAATTTTATGCCCTTGGGAACTGCCCCCTTAGTATCCTGTTCTTAACTGATAGCAGTGGTACCTGGTGTTGTCTTCTGCTGTAGTGTGTAACCTATGCTGTATAGACTGTCTATACCAACAAGCTTGTAAATAGAAAAAAATAATATTGAGTTGAACTGAGTTCCGTTTGCCGCGATCCACAACAGTTCCGGTTTTTGTGTGGCTTCTTGGTAAAGTTGCTCTTCTGCATACATTTCTTGTAACAAGGCATTATTTGAGTTACTGTTGCCTTCATATCATGCCAAAGCAGTCTGACCATTCTTTGCCCTGAAATGAACTAGGCATTTTCTCTGCTGCTCACTGGATATTTTCTCTTTTTTGGATCATTCTCTGCAAACCCTACACATGGTTTTGCGGGAAAATCCCAGCAGATCAGCTGTTTCTGAAACACGGAGCACCGTTTCTGGCACTATCAATCATGCCGTTCGGAGTCACTTAAAGCACCTTTCTTTCCCATTCTGATGCTTACTTTCAACTATAGTATGTCACCTTGAGCGTGTCTACATCTAAAATATCTAAAACCTGCAGGACAGGCCTGGAGTTCCCAATCCGATCGAATCCATAGACGCGGCATCAATCCGAGCGGAACTTTCTTGGACTAAATGGCTCTCCGTACTGCTGTGATGTCACCACCCTCCAGTATTTATATGTTTTTTTTGGCGGGGTGCGCAAATCTGCTCGGAAGTTCTGTTCATTTTGTAAACACAAGTGACAAAAAATGGAGCGGTAAGTTAAACTTTGGCCAAGAAAATAAGTGCCAAACAACATTCTGACAAAATATAATGTTTCTGGGCACCTAAGCTAACGAAGTTCAAATTCATTTGCTGTCATTGTTTGCGGACGTTAGCGACCGTTAGTTTAAACGTTGTCGCAGCGGTTAATTCAACAATGTTCACAACTATAACACTATTTATCGAGTAAAACACGACGTATTCGTGGTATTGGGTTAGGTTAGGTCTAGTGAACTTCGACTATCTGAAATATTACAGAAGTTACGGCGCTAGTTAGCAAACAATGCTACTTCATTACGTTTCTGAAGTGTATGTCAACCTTAACGGAGAGTTGTCATTCATTTACAAATGTGGCCAACATCCTCTCCTTAATGGGCGGTGTTGTGTACTCGGCGAACAGTTGTGAATCACTGGAGTGTCTTTCATAAAACATGTTCCCATTTTGTGATACTTTCTCCAGTGTAAGGCTGAGTCGAGTCAAAGGTAGCAGACCATCGGAGCAGTCGCTGCGAGTGCAAGACAGCAACAGGATGAGCTTGATGTATACGACGCCTCAGAGGTTTGTTTAAAGAAACTTCACCTGTAATAAATTCAGCTCTACAATTACACTACTTAGTTCACTCATCTATTTGATAAACAGCTGATTGTTGTAACCCAATGCTTTTAATAAGGGGTTGTCTCCACAACATTCAATTAACATGGCTTAATTTGGACCACACAGTCTGTTTAGAAATGCGTTGTGACAGACTGGGACTTACTGGTTTGGGGTATATGATATAATATTGATATTGTGATATTGTATACATGGGATAAAGCAGGGATGGGGAAGTTATATTTATTAACTCATGAAGAAAGATGGCTCACTAGGTATTAGCAAATTAATTATTCAAGTTTTTTTTTTTTTTTCCCTCAGTAAACAGCCTTCATTTGGAAAGCTCAACATACCAAAACCGCAGTCTGGGACCTCTGAAAGACGGACCAGTTTCTTTGGTCCGAGGTATATCTGAATTTTCCAAAACTCGGTTACACTGTTGCTACAAAATGACTACTTTTGTAAAATCCTCAGGTGATTGGGCTTAGATATTAGCTTAGATATTAGAAATTTGAAAATGAAATGAAGATTACAAACGTTCCTAAAACAAGTAAAAAGTGGAATAAGTTATTTAACCCACTCAGGGTAAAATGACTGACGTATCTTAAATTAAAAAAAATATATTTATGCTTTTTCATTAAAAAAAACAAAAACAATTCTCTGCAATGCCTTGATTTAAGTGTGAATATATTGTAACTCCCTTTGTAAATTAAAAAAATAAAACTGCTCTTTGACATTTTAATAGGACTAGTGGAGTCGGCATGCCTCGCAACAGCACCATGTCAGGGTTTGGAGGAACTGAGAAGATAAAAGATGCTCGACCTCTACACGATAAGTCTTATGTTCAGCAATGCATCAGGCAGCTGCACGAGGTAAAAACATAAACTGTGTCTGTGTAAAGTGGACTGTGAAATAAGGGACTGCAACATGCACCTTATTTCATTTAGCTGCTTAGCATTTTTACCACACCTCTGATGGATAACTTTACCACACAAGGGGTCTTAAATGATTGCAGAATAAATTTTAGGTTGTATTTTAACAGTGTATTTCTTTCATATGATCTAGTTCTTGACAGAGCAGGGTTACCCGGGCACTTTGTCATCCAAGACCCTCCAGTCTCCATCCACCAAGGAGTTTGTGAAGATGTTTGAATTCATCTACTGCCAGCTAGACCCAACCTTTGAGATGCCAAACTCAAAAGTTGAAGAGGAGGTTCCTGCTCTCTTTAAAACCTTGGGGTAAAATGTGTACTGTTAACAGCTGTTGTTGTTGTTGTTGTTGTTGTTGTTGTTAAACCCCCTCCCCGCACTTAAAAGAAAAAGTTAAAGGATATATTATGAAATATCTTGTCTCATTTTCTGTAGTTTAAGAAACTTTCCTGACTTGCTCTGTTTTGGCATCTTGTTTAAGGTACCCATTCGTTCTCTCCAAGTGTTCCATGTATTCTGTTGGAGCTCCCCATACCTGGCCTCAGGCTCTGGGGGCTCTCATGTGGCTTATTGATAATGTCAAGGTGAGAAATGACATTAAATCTCCAAGTACATTGGATCGTTATCGTTTAAAACAAAGTTCACATGCACTAAATATCAAATGCCCCACAAGAAAATGTGGAAGCTAAAGGTCAGCATGTTTTCTTTATTTTTAATGTGTTTCTGCATCAGATCAACTGGAGTTTGAGCAAACAGGAGCTGCTGTTCAGTGACTTCAATGAAGGCGAAAATATTGAAGAAGGTTCTGAGTTTAACAAGGTACAGGAACTTTACAGTGTGAAAACTATGAAAAATAAAATAATGTATACTG